TCGTTTCCCCTGATTAATACCAAAAAACCACAAAATAGCCCGGTGATTTCTCTCGCAAAAGGTCTTTACAAAGGTTGCGATTCGTCGCTACATGGATAAGCTCATAGTCAGGATTTCAAAACATGACAATATCAGGTCGTTTGAATAATCGAGTCATACCTTCCGCTCTCTGTCCAGGAGCATCTTTCCTGTGACTATATCATGAGAGTGCATAATCATATTTCATATTCTCACATATACAGCAGAGAGTATATTTGCCAGCAGCAAAGAGCTGCACATACCAATTAATTGTGGACTACTACACATTGGTTACGTCCCAGATTTGTCAGGCTAATCTGGTTATATCTGACAACTTGTTGTTATAACCTATATAACTATAACGTGCTATCGTAGCGCATGAAGGCTTTCAACCTTGTGGCAGCACTGACGGGTATGGCGATTTTCGTACATAAGGGTACTTAGAGCACTTAGAGCTAATAAAAGACTGTGCAACGGCGAAGCTACGTAAGGCAAACAAGAAGTATATCACACAGAGCAAATTAAAACATTGTTATTTAAAATCTATAGGACTTCATGGAACTTAAAAAATTCCCATCATACATAACGATTGTGTTTATGTCTCTATGCTGCTTTACAAAAAAATACAAACAAATGGCGGCAGTGTTACCGAAAAGTTTAGCAAGAATGGTTGCGGAGGCCGTGCAACGAAAAGTAATGAAACAATCTCTGGAACAATTGAACCTACCGATCGAGAGTTAATCACACGAGAGTTCTGTAGCACCATTAAGCATCAGTGAAGAAAAGTCTAACGTCGAAACCCAGCGGAAATAGTTAAATTGGAATGAATGATCTTAATACAAAATATGACGAGAAATACTTTGAGCTGCCAGAAATAGGCGTCAAAAATCCAAAGTACACAGCAAGACAGATGATAGACGGAGCTAAATAAGTGGCCAACCGCTTGTTGACAATAGGACCAATCCCAGTGTAATGACTTCCGTCGAAACTAGGTTACTGCGGTAAAGTTTAAAGCCTTCTTTGTAATGCATGCGAGTCAACAAGCATTACGAGGTGATAGCACCCATTTTGCCGGAGCCACAAGGGAGGCGGCATCTCCCCAATCAATAACGCCATCATGCATTTCATGAGCTGTAAGAACCTTAATACCGTGGCTTTAATAAATGGTACTCATAGACGACTAGATACAAATGGTGGGATAATGTTGCCATATAACCCGGGGTAATGACGTCCATGCGTCTCACTGTACCGTTGTATCGGTTTAACGTAAAAAATATATTCGTCGTTTAATGCCCTCAAGCTTGAACCGGCAAACCGGCAAATTTCAGCAAC